ATTCGATTCATCCGCACTGAGGAGCCGTGACGATGCACAAAAGAAAAGTAGAGGCAAAACCTACGGACTGCAGCTTTAAATTCCAAAATCGATCTTTTAGTCTATGCTGTTTTCTGTTGAAACGTGACTAAAACATCACTACACTAATTTGTAGAGTGACTGCCATCCAATAATCATAATAAGCTTTGTGTTACTTTTGATATGAAGTCTCAGCTTTAAAATTCTCTACTTTTAGCATGAAATTTAAACAATAAAAACAGTTTTGGTGCCCTTTAATGTGACATGGCAGATTGCGGTAGCGGCTCAGTTTAAGCCTATTTACTACTAGTTATAGCACAACATAAACACTTACTGAAATGTTGAAGTACTCACTCAATCTTTTAATTGTGGAAAGACATCATAACGGATAAAAAAAATACCTCAGCAAAGCCATTTAATGTTCACAGCTTGATAGTTTACTAGAAAAATAACTCTAGAGAGAAGCATTTTGTTAAATATATGGCCTATATTACATATTCATTAGATTTTCTACCTTATATTATATTTTTACCTGTTAATGTCTCATTGCATTTTTGAAAAGTCGTGAAAACAATTATAGCCATCATTTAAAGATTCATATTTCATCTTAATTTCAACGATGAATTGAAGTAAAAACATCCTTTAAAAATTTGATCATTTGTTACGTTTAAATCTTTTTGAGTGTTGATTTATTAAATACATTTAATGAATTGATTTTTAAATAAACTTTATTTCTTATTCACATTTAAATGGGAAGCTGAATAGTTGGTTTTCAGCCAAATGCAAACTTATTTTCATGCATCAGTTTAAACCATCCCTCCATCATTTCATCCAAAAGTCTATTGTAACTAAGGAATGTTTAGTGCAAGAAATGCAATGTAAGTGTACCAGCCTTTTTAAAGTGTGGATCCACTTTAAGTACTCTTGTATGTGAATACTACAGGAGCTGTGAAGTACCTGGAATGCTCAGCCTTAACACAACGCGGCCTTAAGACGGTGTTCGATGAAGCCATCCGTGCGGTCCTGTGTCCGCCCCCAGTCAAGAAAGGAAAGAGGAGGTGTTTTATCCTCTGAACTGACTGTACTCACAGCACCAGCTACAATCTGCGCTCACCTGAGAGGAGAACAGTGGAGGCGGGGATAATGGGAAATGTGTTTTGGGGAAGAAGAAAGTCTGCACAGTGTATCCGTACAGATATTTCTCCCTCTTGCATTGTATTTAGAATTGCACCACTAACTAGCTGTTAAGATGCCAGATTATTTGCTTCCGAGTGATGAGGAGTGGCATCCATAGTTGTTTTCCTTCCCGTACAGCAAGACATTCCTGCTGCCTTCTAATGATCTCCTTTATTTTCCCCTCATTCTGATGAACTAAATACTTTTTTCTGTGTATTTCTCCATCTTTGTGAGCCCATATATTTTGTTTACAATCTGCGTTTTTATAGAAAATGAATTATTGCCAAACGTTAAACCCACGTGGATTTCAATTTGCTCACACTAACAGTCTAATTTTTCCTAAAGGGTGGGGGGTGTTAATCATGCATACTTGTAAGAGACAGAGATTGCAGTAATGTTGAAGGAACTATTTTACAAGAGGACAGCTTAAGTAAACACTATTTTTTGGTTCCTGTGTTACGGTTTCCATGCTAGAGAGTTTATTTTGTTTAACTGTATAAGAAACAAACCTAGTTAAAATGCATATAACAGCTTTGTTTGGTCAGCATATAGCATATTTTCACTACTGTATCTGAATATTCAGAAGAGCAGATCTCTTGTTTAATCTCTCTCTGTATTTTAGTCGGACAGTGTTTTAACCATTTTACAGTCCCAGTATTGTATTTAGACTACAGATCTACCAGTGCGTAGTATCAGACCAGGGTTTCATTGCGAAGCTGAGCATGGCGGAAGTTTCTGTACTGTAGACACCTTAACACTACGGCATGGGGTTCATATTCTTGAAAGAGCCCCTTGAAGACTGCTATATGTATAAACCGTTTGTTGTAAGGGTACAGACATGAAGTATTAAACTTCTAATTGGATTTCAGACATGGTTCAAGACGAAATGGTTGGAATTTGCCACATGGAATTTTTAATTTTGACATCTGTAACTTTTAAAATGCTTTATTCATGCTTTTATTGTCTCCACTAAAGCTACAATGCATTAACCTTTATGTCTGAAAATAGAAACCAAATATAAAAACATTTGTCTTTGTTCTTCGTTTTCCATGTACACTTTATGGACAAAAGTATTGGGACACTCCCTTCTAATAAACAGGTTTGACTACTCGAGTAATTTCCATGAGTACATATCTTAATGTTTAAGCATATTATGATATTCTAGGGAATTGTGTGCTTCCAATTTTATAGCAACAGTTTGGACAGGACCCTTTTCTATTCTAACATGACAATGCCTCTGTGTATAAGGCAAGGTTCAAAAAGAAATGATTGTTTCAGCCAGTGTGGAAGAACTTTACTGGTCCTAATCCCAGCTGAACACCTCTGGTGTGACTTTAAATGCAGACCTTGAGCCAAAAAATCATCACCAAACACCAACTTGTACATATGGGTACAGTCATTTTAGACACTTCCAAAACCATTGCAATAGAGATGGAAATAAAAATTTTAAATACATGAATTATGTTTCCATCTTTATTGCCAGTTTTGGAAATGCCTTTTTCTTTTCTAAAGAAGGGTGTGTCCCAATAATTTTGTAGACCAACCCAGAAGTTAGCATCACCTTGGTTCTCTCAACCATAATCCAGTAGGGTTTTTCTATTGGCTTTTGGATTATTGCAGAAAATAAATTGCCCCCGACAACCTCTTGTTAGCAACTGCTTTTTTCAAGACAAGAAAAAGCTTTAAAGGGGTCATGTGATGCTATTTTAAAGATCATTATTTGGTGTAACAGAATATGTTGACATGCTTTAATGTTCAAAAAACACATTATTTTTCAAATACTGTACATTATTGTAGGTCCTCTATGCCCCGCCTCTCTCAAACGTTGTTTTCAACAAAGCCCCCTTTTGACAAGCGCAGTCTGCTCTGATTGGCCAGCTGACCCAGTGCATTGTGATTGGCCGAACACCACAAGCACGCGTCGGAAATGTAACGCCCCTTACCATAATCGTGAGCTTCAGCTTTCAAAGTAAATATCAAGACAGTTAATAATGTCGTTAGTTTTACCATCAGTTCAAGCCCGAAAGGGCAACAGAGTCGCGTGACAGACACCGTGACGATGCAGTACACAAGCCGCGGTTAAGACAGTACTCAGCGCCTCTGCATTTGAACAGTCAATAGCAAATACTTGAACTAATAACAAAACATACTTACAGTCCTTACAGTCGCTGCGCCAGATTGTCATAGCAAAGTC